ATTCAGATAAACGGCAAAGCACTTGATGTACTTTTAGACAGTCATGCTTTAACTTTTTGTGTAGTTTTTAGTTTAATGACTAGTAATACTGTAAAAATGATTAGTGATTATAGTCAAATTTCAATTTTATATAAATAAAGTTGCTGCAAATTTGGATCAAAGTCCCTGTACTAAAGTACACAGTCTTTGGCCAACTTAACAAAAGTGAAAAGGAGAGTTCTTAATTTATAACTTATAATTATAATAATATTATACTTATAGTTATAGTTATAACTTATAATTAATTTATAACTCAAAAAATTAAAGTCAGAATCAGCTCAAACTTTCTACATGGCATAAGGGCATCAATATGCATCAGAAAATGTCATAAATTTGGGGTGATTTTGGAGCCATTTTTTGGAAAAACCATGGGCTATAGCCTTGGGTATTTTTCAAAATTTTGCCGTTTTTTTTAAATGGCCGTAACTTAAAAAATTGAAGTCGGAATCAGCTCAAACTTTCTACATAGCATTAGGGCATTAATATGCATCAGAAAATGTAATAAAAATTTGGGGTGATTTAGGAGCCATTTTTTGGAAAAAACCATTAATGGGCTATAGCCTTGGATAATTTTCACAATTTTGGCATTTTCTTAAAATGACTGTAAGTGGGAAAATTGAAGTCGGAGTTACCTCAAAGTTACTACACAGCATAAGAATATTAATATGTATTAGGAAATGTAACAAAAATTTGGGGTGATTTCAAAGCCATTTTGCTCAATTTTTAAAATGCTAATGACTCAAATAAAATTTTGGAGGGATCAAGTTAAGTGTGGCAAATCGCTAAATTTTGTTGATTGGTGAATTAGTGGCAACATGCCATGCCATCATGATGCCATTGAACATGTGTACACAGCCAAGAATTTTACTTTGAATCATGACTGATATCAATTAGGATCAGCCTTGATACATCCCTGTATCATGGATTTTTGGCAACCTGCAAAGCAATGAGTCTAGTATGATACAATCTGATAATCTTCCATGATACAATCATGCTGGAGTACGGCCCTGGTTCAACCAGAGCAACAGACACGATCCAACAATGATGCCAGTCAGGGCTGTATCAAAATAGACATCAGGCCTGAATCATTGATTTTGGGTAGTGGCCTGTATCAGAGATGATAATTCTTGGCTGTGTATAATGGCTAAAAATGGCGGATTTATTTCAGTGAAAACAATTATAGGAATATTTTACACTTTTACGCTTGTTTCAAGAGAATAAACTAATCAGTACTTTAGTGATGACTATGATAATTTAATAGAATTATAACAGCTTAAGTTAGTTTCATTGGAGCAAAAGCTGACAATACATTGGGTGCTAAAGGAAGCGAGTCATTAATATTCGTACCGCCGTAAAATAGGCGGGGTCACAATTATTAACCCTTTACTTTTATAAATATGGTTGTCGTATCTATGGATACATTTCGAGTCCTGTCAAGCTTAGTCCAGGATGAATTGATGTTCCTCTACTGTTAAGTTATTGTCTACTGGTGCTCAGTAAGGCATATTTATTTGTGTTGTAAAGTCTATTAATAATAATAACAAAATAGCCTATTTAGTAGTAAAAATCATGTGATAAATCTTTCAGTTGATCATTCTGCAGTGCCGGAGCCACTAAAGATATGTATGCCATGGTCTCAATGCTAGTGCTGTCTGTTGTCTTCTTCTTGAGTGTGAATCAAGTTATCAGTCAATCATGTCCACCTACCTCAGGTAAGATTACAATGCATGCATGCCAATACAATAATGATGTTTTTATAGGTATCTATTTAGCACATGAAGAAAATTGTTATCATAATGGATCGTATTTTTGGGATAGAAGAGTTGATTTACCTGCTGAAGCTATATCATGTGTGTTACCTGGTACTAGTCTACATAGGCGGCTGTAGGATTTCACTGCAAGTAGGGCAAAGGTGTGGCTGAAAGTGGGAGTGGTCAAAAGTAGGTGTGGTCATGACCACACCCACATATCTTGCTTATGAGTTTTTAAATCTGTGAAGACTTCT